CTGGGCCATCCAGTCCAACCCCATTCTGCCAAGAAGCAGGAATATTGCATTCAAATCACCCCTGACAGATGGCCAGCCAGCCTCTGTTTAAAAGCTTCCAAAGAAGGAGCCTCCACCACACTCCGGGGCAGAGAGTTCCACTGCTGAACGGCTCTCATAGTCATAGAATCATAGAATCTAGAGTTGGAAGAGACCTCATGGGCCATCCAGTCCAACCCCATTCTGCCAAGAAGCAGGAATATTGCATTCAAAGCACCCCTGACAGATGGCCATCCAGCCTCTGTTTAAAGCCTCCAAAGAAGGAGCCTCCACCACACTCCAGGGCAGAGAGTTCCACTGTTGAACAGCTCTCAGTCTTAGAATCCTAGAGTTGGAAGAGACCTCATGGGCCATCCAGTCTAACCCCCTGCCAAGAAGCAGGAATATTGCATTCAAATCCCCTGACAGATGGCCATCCAGCCTCTGTTTAAAGCTTCCAAAGAAGGAGCCTCCACCACACTCCGGGGCAGAGAGTTCCACTGCTGAACGGCTCTCACAGTCAGGAAGTTCTTCCTCATGTTCAGATGGAATCTCCTCTCTTGTAGTTTGAAGCCATTGTTCCTGTGCTTCTCCAGGGAAGCAGAAAACAAGCTTGCTCCCTCCTCCTCCCTGTGGCTTCCTCTCACATATTTATACATGGCTATCATATCCCCTCTCAGCCTCCTCTTCTTCAGGCTAAACATGCCCAGCTCCTTCTACCCCGCCCTTCTCACCCCAAAGGGACTCAGGGCGGCTTACAAAGGCACAATTCGATGCCAGCATCACATAACAGTAGTAAAACAAAATAACATCAATTAAACAGTTAAACAGTTGAACAGTTAAACAACAATTCCTGCATTACAACCCTAAAACCAATAAAACAATACAATCCCAATTACTCCTCATAGACGGTCAGCGTTCGCTATCTCATAGTCCAATTTCCAATTCCACTTTGTCAGTCCTGTCAGTCCTAGTCGTCTGATTGTCCTTATCTAGTTGTCAGATTGCCCAAAGGCCTGGTCCCACAACCACGTCTTTACTTTCCTCCTGAAGGAGAGGAGGGATGTTGATGCCCTAATCTCTCCCGGGAGTGAGTTCCACAGGTGTGGAGCCACCACTGAGAAGGCCCTGCTCCTCGTCCCCACCAACCTCACTTGTGATAGCGGTGGGGTCGAGAGCAGGGCCTCCCCAGATGATCTCAGATTCCAGGGTGGGACGTAGAGGGAGATACGTTCAGACAGATACACTGGACCGGAACTGTACAGGGTTTTGTAGGTCAAAACCAGCACCTTGAATTGGGCTCGGAACTGAACCGGCAGCCAGTGGAGCTGACACAGCAGGGTAAACGTGCCCAGCTCCTTAAGCCGCTCCTCATAGGGCTTGTTCTCCAGACCCTTGAGCAAGACGGCTTCCTGCTGAGGTGCAACACAAATGCCCCAGTGATGTTCAGAGCGAGCAGAAGCGAAGGCGAGAGCAGTGGGCCAAACCCTGCCAAAGAGCCATATTGTGAGGCATCCATTGAGAAACCGCAACTTTTGCAATTGGGCTGCAACCAGGCTTTGCAAGAAACAACAGATTATTATTTATCGTGTCATCAGCAACCATTGTATTACAATTCTAACAGAGCAAAACAAACACACAGATTAAAAAGAAAAAAGAAAAAAACACAGATTTTGCAAATTTGGTATTTGGTTAAATGTCCTTTGACCAGTATCTGGCCACTTGGAGTGCCTCTGGGGTTGCCGCAAGAAGGTCCTCCCTTGTGCATCATGTGGCAGGGCTCAGGGTGCATTGCAGCTGGTGGTCAGTGGTTTGTTCTTCTCTGCACTCGCATGCCGAGGATTCCACCCTGTAGCCCCATTTCTTGAGGTTGGCTCTGCATCTCGTGGTGCCAGAACGCAGTCTGTTCAGCGCCTTCCAAGTTGCCCAGTCTTCTGTGTGCCCAGGGGGGAGTCTCTCATCTGGTATCACCCATGATTGAGGTGCTGGGTTTGGGCCTGCCACTTTTGGACTCTCGCTTGCTGGGGTGTTCCAGCGAGTGTCTCTGTAGATCTAAGAAAACTATGTCTTGATTTAAGTCGTTGACGTGCTGGCTGATACCCAAACAGGGGATGAGCTGGAGATGTCTCTGCCTTGGTCATTTCACTATTGGCTGCTACTTCCCGGCGGATGTCAGGTGGTGCAATACCGGCTAAGCAGTGTAATTTCTCCAGTGGTGTAGGGCGCAGACACCCTGTGATAATGCGGCATGTCTCATTAAGAGCCACATCCACTGTTTTAGTGTGGTGAGATGTGTTCCACACTGGGCATGCATACTCAGCAGCAGAGTAGCATAGCGCAAGGGCAGATGTCTGCACTGTGTCTGGTTGTGATCCCCAGGTTGTGCCAGTCAGCTTTCGTATGATATTGTTTCTATCGCCCACTTTTTGCTTGATGTTCAGGCAGTGCTCCTTGTAGGTCAGAGCATGGTCCAAAGTGACTCCCAGGTATTTGGGTGTGCTTGCAATGCTCCAGTGGGATTCCTTCCCAGGTAATCCTCAGAGCTCGGGATGCTTGTCTGTTCTTAAGGTGAAAGGCACATGTCTGTGTTTTAGATGAATTAGGGATCAGCTGGTTTTCCCTGTAATAGGCAGTAAGAGCACCTAGAGCTTCGGAGAGCTTCTGTTCAACCATCTCAAAGCTCCCTGCTTGAGCAGTAATGGCATGATCATCAGCATAGATGAAACTCTCTGTCCCTTCTGGCAGTGGCTGGTCATTTGTGTAGATGTTGAACATGGATAGGGAAAGCAGATGCAAATGAGGGGATGAGGCTGGGTGGAGGCAAGGGAAGCCATCCATCAAACTCAACAGGCCTTTGGGCGGGGGGGGGGGGGGGTGAAAGGGGGGAGCTGCTCAGGATCTCGTTGTCAGAGCCCGGGTCCTTTTGCAAAACTCCCATCCTTGGCTGTCCTTTGGGTCCCTTTCCCACCTCCCCATGATGCCAAAGCAGAAGAAGCCCACCCAACCCATTTGCATGCAATGCCTCCCTGGCAGCAGCACCGCTTGTTATCCGAATCCCGTCGCTGTTGACAGTTTAATGATAATCACTTTCTGTTGATGTATCTTCGAGGATAATAATGTTCCCATTCCTTCTCTCTCTCTCTCTCTCTCTCTTTCAACGATCCCCCTCCTCAATTTCTTTCCTTTTAAAAATGGAGGAGAAGGAAGGCAGGGGAGAGTCGTCCGCAGAGCCAAAATTACAGTAATTTTCCTTTCTGGTTGGAGCGGTTTCGTAAACAATTAGGTTTCAATTAAAGACCGGAGGGCTCCCGCTGAGAGGGGCGCCTTCGGAGGCAGGGATCCTCTGCCGGAAACTCACACCATTCAAATATCATTTACTCAATGTATTGTCAAAGGCTTTCATGGCCAGAATCACTGGGTTGTTGTAGGTTTTTTCGGGCTGTATGGCCATGTTCTAGAGGCATTCTCTCCTGACGTTTTGCCTGCATCTATGGCAAGCATCCTCAGAGGTAGTGAGGTCAGTTGGAACTAGGAAAATGGGTTTATATATCTGTGGAATGACCAGGGCGGGACAAAGGACTCTTGTCTGCTGGAACGAGGTGTGAATGTTTCAACTGACCACCTTGATTAGCATATAATGGCCTGATAGTGCCTGGAGCATTTCTGAGAACACAGAAATACTCTCACAACCACCATGTCAGACTACACAGAGAAGCCACTGAAATCCACAAGCATGTGGACCATTTCAACAGAAAGGAGGAAACCATGAAAATGAACAAAATCTGGCTACCGGTATTAAAAAAAAATCTAAAATTATACAGCACAACAACAGAGAGGAAACAAACAAGGACATCTAATCACCTCTCAACAAAAGATTGCTCCAGGCACTGCCAGGCCATTATATGCTGATCAAGGTGGTCAGTTGAAACATTCACACCTAACTCCAGCAGACAAGAGTTCTTTGTCCCACCCTGGTCATTCCACAGATATATAAACACTTTTTCCTAGTTCCAACAGACCTCACTATCTCTGAGGATGCTTGCCACAGATGCAGGCGAAACGTCAGGAGAGAATGCCTCTAGACCATGGCCATATAGCCCGAACAAACCTACAACAATCCAATCATTTACTCAGATGCTTTTGTGCAGGAAATCCCAAAAGCAAGCCTGGGCAAACTTGGACAAACTCTGAGGTTTTGCTCCAACTCCCACCCTGGACATTATTCCACAGGCCTATATACACCCCACTTGCCTCATTTCTAACAGAACTTCTGCAGATGCCATTCACCACGGAAGCAGGGGAAATGTCAGGAGGGAATGCTGCTGAAACATATTGGCCAAGCAGCCTGGAAAACTCACAGCAACCCAATCAGGGTTGACTTCAAAGGGTCGTTGACTCCGTGGATGGAGAATCCGTGGATACAGAGGGCCAATTATATTTTTTGACATAGCAGTCGGTGCTCTTTAGTTTTTACCCAGGTTGGGTCCACAGGTGACATTGAACAACAATTCCCATCCCTTTTTAATGATCTACCATGTCGACTGGGGACAATGGGAGTTGCAATCCATACTCATGGTTAGGGAAAGGTTGAAGGACATCCTAAAGGCAGTCATATTGTTCGCAAGCCTTGGATCTAAATCAGGCATGAGCAAACTTGGGCCCTCCAGGTGTTTTGGACTTCAACTCCCACAATTCCTAACAGCCTACCGGCTGTTAGGAATTATGGGAGTTGAAGTCCAAAACACCTGGAGGGCCCAAGTTTGCCCATGCCTGATCTAAATCCCAGTCCTACTCTCTTGAGAACTGCAGCTGTTCCAGACGTAACAATATTCCAACTCCCATCAGGACTAGTTATGATGCGGGATACAGGAGTCGTAAGCCAGAATCTGGTGGAGCGACACATCCAAGGACATGGAGGATCTTGGGTTTGGCCCATGAGTCCTATGGCAAGCCCCGCCGAGGGTCTTATGGGGCGGACTCACCGAGACGCGGAAGGGGGTCTCTGCAGTTCCTCCGGCTGGCTCCATATTGAGGTTCCCCTCAGGGGCTTCGCTGGTGGGCAACCCCTGTTTCTGACCAGTCCTGTCCTGTTGGGATTCTGCAAAAAAGAGAGGGAAAGGGGAGGAATTAGAGAAAGGAACTGTGTTGTCTAAGGCTTGCATGGCTGTGAGTTTTTTGGACTATATGGCCATGTTTCTGTTGCATTCTCTCCTGACGTTCTGCCTGCATCCGTGACTCATGACATCTTCAGAGGTCTGTTGGAAGTGAGGCAAGTGGGGTGCATATATACCTATGGAATAATGTCCAAGGTGGGAGAAAGAACTCTTGTCTGTTTGAGGCAAGTGTAGATGTTGCTATTAGTCACCTTGAGTAGCCTTGTGTTGGAAATAGCAACCTTCTTTAATTTGTTTGCATATGATTCTGTTTGCTTACTGTGTTGTATATATTATTCTTTGGTAGGCAGCTTTCCCTTTACTCTATGTTTCTTGGGGTTGTGGGAGGGGCTGCAGACCACATGAGGAGATCTGGGACTGCTCAGTGCTCAGACTCCATTTTAGAACACAAGCAATGCTTTAGCCATGAGATGCTTCAGAGCGCAGAATGTTTAGAGCACATCAGACACTACGTAGTTTCATGGATTTTATGTACCTAACTATCTGCCACGCGTTGCTGAGGCCAACCTTCCCTCCTTCTTTCTCTCCTTCTTTCCCTCCTTCCTTCCTTCGCTCCCTTTTCTTCTTTCTTTCTTTCCTTACTTCCTTCTCTTTTTCCTTCCTCCACCCTTTTTCTTTGCCTTCTCCTTTCTTCCTTCATTACCTCTTTCCTTCCTTCTCTCTTTCCTTCTCTAATATTTTTAATTGTTATTTATAAATTTGTTTTAAGGCATTGAATATTTTGTGTGTGTGTGTATGGTTATATTTATACTATTTAATGTATTTACATTAAATAAATATTAAAAATAATTCAACTAGAAATTTCCTTCCATTATTACTGTTTAAACTGCACTTTTAATATACTAGGCATTATTTTGTACCAAATTATATATAATATTATTTATGTTTCTAAAGTAATGAATTGTTTTCACTTAGGCTGAGCCCTTCCCCACAACTGTTTTGGAAAAAATGGACCACCAAAACTTCTATGTAGTTTAGTCTTCTATGGAATTATCCATCATGAATGTTGCAAGGTAGTGACATCTCCGGCACATCCTCTGTTTGGATATCAGCCAGCACACCAATGCCTTACCTTATTTTCACTTCCATCAAAATTCATTATATGACTCTTTACCTTCCTTACATCTTTTGTTCTTTTACTTCTCCTTTCTACCTTATCTGCCTCTTTCCTTGTTTTGTGAGTCATAAATTCTTTATCTTCTTTTCTCCTTTCTTCCTTCTCTCCTCTTTTTCCTTTTCCTTCCTTCCTGCTTTTGCTTCCATCCTTCCTTCTCTCTTTCCTTTCCCTCTCTTTCTCTCCTTCTTTCCCTACTTCTTTCCCGTCCTCTTTCCTTCCTTCCCTTATTTTCTTTCCCTCTCTCTTTTCTTCCTTCTCTAGCTCTTTTCTTCCTTCCCCCTTTTCTTTTCCTTCTCCTTTCTCCCTTTTCTTCCTTTCCTTCCTTCCTTCCTTCCTTCCTTCCTTCCTTCCTTCCTTCCTTCCTTCCTTCCTTCCTTCTCTCTTACCTTCTTTCTTTCCCCCCTCCCCTCTCTCTTTTCTTTCTTCTTCCTTCCTTCCTTTCTTTCTCCCCTTTCTTCCCTCCCTCTTCCTTCCCTTTTTTTCTGTATCATTTAGCTTTTTGGGGGTTTTAAAGTCCTTTCTGCTGTTTTTTTTTTTGGGGTGGAGGTATGAGTGATGGTCACTTGTTGGCCTGTTAGGGGCATAATGTCCAAATTTCGTGTCAGTTCGTTGAGTGGTTTTTGAGTTAGGTTAATCCCACAAACGAACACGTTTTTATTTATAGAGATGGATCTCGTTTTCCCTTGAATCTCATATATTGGAACTTTACTACCTTTGCTATTTTGACTGCTTTGACGACCCTTGGGAAACGTCACTTGCAAATGAGCGAATATGCCGAGGTGCTAAAAGCGGGTTCCTTTCCGGTCTAGTCACCCAGGTTGCCAAGTTTCTTCCGGCCACTTTCCGCACAGTGTGGTCAAAGTGGGCTTTGCGAGAGAAGGAAGGAACCCACTCTGGGATTTGGTCCAAACTTTAAAGACTCACTCTTTCAGAGCCACTCGTGCCCTGTTCCCAAATGAGCATTTTTGGAAGCCGACACTCAAATGGCCACGGAAGCCATTACCAGGCTTAACCCTAAAGTAATAAGTCAAGAAAAATGTCTTTTAGGTGTTTTCTATTCTTGTGTTTACTGTGTTTTTAAATGTGTTGGGTTGTGTCGTGCTATTGTAAGCCGCCTTGAATCCGAACGGGGAGAAACAAAGTGTAACAACAACAATAACACGATGCTTAATCTAAAGCAGGCATGGGCCAACTTGGGGTTTCCTTCCGGGTGTTTTGGACTCCAACTCCCACCATTCCCAACAGCCTCGGGCCCTTTCCTTTTCCCCCTCAGCCCCTTCCCACGTATATCTTGTGAGTCATCCGGCTCTGGGTAAATACATGTTTGGCTCCAAGTCTGACCCATCTCAAGTTCAGTCTGATCAGCATTCAGACTCGCTCGCTGCTGCTTCAACAGTCAGAAGCAGAATGCGGATTTGTGCCTGACCGCTGATTGGAACCCAGAGCTGACAGACGAATGCCTCGGAATGCTAATGCTTACAAAGACAGTTCTCAAGTCCGAAGGAGACTCAGAGGCCATCCAGCCCACCTCGGAACTCAGGTCTGGAACACAAGTGGCAACGGGTGAGGCCTTTCCAGCAGATGCCCAGGGAAGGAGAACTCACTGCTTCTCTCAGAGCCAGTGTGCTCACCCTTCCTCAGGCAACAACCCCTTCATGTTGTGGTGACCCTCAACCAGGACATTATTTTCGTTGCTACTTCATAACTGTCATGCAAGGCAACATGCACAATGGAGGACCTTCTTGCAGCAACACCAGAGGCACTCCAAGTGGCTAGATACTGGTCAAAGGACATTTAATCAACTACCAAGTTCGCAAACTTTGTGTTTTGTTTATTTGTTTGTTTTTAATGCAATACAACTGTTTGGTTCGCTCCTGACATGATACTTAGGCGATCCCTCGTAGTCCAAGGATGATGGTCCTCCAAGTTCGGTGTCCTGGCAGTGGGTCCGTAGGTGACTGTGGAGCCCTATTCTTGATCTGCCTCTTCTCCCAGAGTGAGAGCATCGGTTTCCAGGTGGAAGGCAGTCTCGGACGGGATTCGCTTGACGCACCTTCCTCTTGGCACGTTTCTCTCTTTCACCCTTCATTTGTGCCTCTTCAAATTCTGCAGCACTGCTGGTCACAGCTGACCTCCAGCTGGAGCGCTCAAGGGCCAGGGCTTCCCAGTTTTCTCTCAGTGTCTGTGCCAGAGTTTTTAAGGTTGGCTTTGAGCCCATGTTTCAATCTCTTTTCCTATCCACCAACATTCCATTTTCCGTTCTTGAGTTCGGAGTAGAGCAACTGCTTTGGGAGACGGTGGTCGGGCATCCAGACAATGTGGGCAGTCCAGTGGAGTTGATGGCGGAGGAGCATCGCTTCAATGCTGGTGGTCTTTGCTTCTTCCAGCATGCTGACATTTGTCCACTTCTCTTCCAAGAGATTTGCAGGATTTTTCGGAGGCAGCGCTGATGGAATCGTTCCAGGAGTTGCATGTGACGCCTGTAGACAGTCCACATTTCGCAGGTGTATAGTAGGGTTGGGAGGACAATAGTTTTATAAACAAGCCCCTTGGTCTCCCTAGGGATGTCCCAGTCCTCAAACACTCTCTGCTTCATTCGGAAAAATGCTTAAACCTTAAAAACTCTGGCATAGACACTGAGAGAAAACTGGGAAGCCCTGGCCCTTGAGCGCTCTAGCTGGAGGTCAGCTCTAGCTGGAGGCACAAATGAAACTGCGGAAGAAGATGCAGGTCAAGAATAGGGCTCCACAGTCACCTATGGACCCACCCCGGAGAATTATCCTACTCGGACAATGAGGGATCGCCTAAGCAAGTAAGTAAGTCTCTGCCAAAGGAGTTCCGAAGACCATCAGAAATAGATGTTTTCTGACAATCTTTGGTGCCCCCCAGATGGAGAAAAGCTGCTCTGAGCAACTGGTCCTGTTGCAGAAGCGCTCTCGCCCCCTCAGACCTCCAAGTCTACCCTCGTGCAAGGCCCATCCTCCCCTTCTATGTTGTGTTCTCCACATGTTTCCCAGCTGGCCAAAGAAGCAACTGGGAAAGGAGGGAGGTTGGCTCTTCTGGTCCTTTTGGAAGCAGAGAGAGAATCTCGAATGGAGCCAAAAGGATGTTGCAGCAAGACAACAAGCCGGGAGGGTTCGGCGTAAATCCGGGAGATCACTGCCAATGTGGGATGACTCACGGGTCTGTTGTTCCCCGCGTGAAAGAAACAAAAAGCACACCACCAGCATTCCCTCCCTCTCTTCCTCCCTCTCTCCCTGTGTTCCAGATTTCGGGAAGACAAGTTCTCTGGCCTTGCATCCCCAGCGGGAATGACGCATTCAGGCCAGTCCACTCGCCTGTCGATGTATGAATGCACAATCGCCTTTTGCAGAATGGGAAAACAGGCCAGCCCACCTGTGCATCCTCCCTCTCACCCACAATCCATGCCCCGCTCCAAAATATAAGAGACGTGGAAATGCACAACGCAAAACACCGCCACAAGGCCAGCACTCACAGTCCTCAGAGGAAGCCTGGGCCAACTTCGGCCCTCCCTCCAGCTGTTTGGGACTCCAACTCCCACAATTCCTATATGCACATCTAGAGACTACTGCGTACCCCATCAGCCACGGATCTGGACCAAACTTGGCACACAGACACCCCATGACTCACTTTATATCCTGGTGGCATTTTACAGGGGGGAGGGGGGGGCGTGGAAAGACCTGGATGATGGTACTTGCAGTACCTTGACCCACATCCAGAGACTACTGCAAACCCCATCCAGCCATGGATCTGCACCAATCGTGGGACACAGACCCCGCATTAACT